ATAGATAGATAGATAGATAGATAGATAGATAGATAGATAGATAGATAGATAGATAGATAGATAGATAGATAGATAGATAGATAGATAGATAGATAAGTTATACAATACTTCTGTCCTTTGGATGTTTCAGACTGGGCCATTAAATTGAGTAGAGATCAGAATGTGTGTGTAGCGTCATTGCTTTTAGACAGTAAGAGAAAAAGTCACCTTCTTTCATGCATTCAATTGTTAGTTGAAATTAATTTGCAAACAGACAAAATACGCCTGTACTCAGAGAGTGTCTATTTATTTCAAATGGTGAAGCCACATTTCGGTCCACTCCCAGATTGACAAAGTGTTCATTGTTATGTATGGGTGACACCAAGTGTGCAAGACGGTTATTGCAGGTATTAAGACCTGAAAAGCTGAACATTGTAGTCATTCATTGTTATTATTATTCTCTTCTCACACCTGTTTTGCCTTTAGTAAAACGGCGGAAAAACTAACTAACAAGAAGTTGTGCTGCAATATGATATTTTACTTTTGATATTACTTACTTTTGATATATACAAAAAATTAATGAATAATAATAACTGCATAATAATAACTTGCACATTAGATCATTAAAATTACATTTAAAAACCAGAATAAACTACTTTAAATGTTTATTGACAGATTTTACGTGTGAAAAATAGCGAAGTAATCAGTTATAACTATGAAATGTGAAAGGTCGAGCTGGAGCCACTCATAGACATGAATTATTGAAAGTTTTTTTTTTCAATCAAAACCAATGTTAAATGTAGACATAATAATAATAATAATAATAATAATAATAATAATAATAATAATAATAATAATAATAATAATAATAGGGAAAAGAAGAGGAAGAATATACTTAAACAATAAAAAATGAATGGATAAGGCAAGTCAAAAATTAACTTTACCTGAAATGATAATATTTGTGATAGAAATTATATGGCGTTGAGATCCCCCTTTGCTAACCCTAACACAGTCGCCAGATCAGATTTATGCTTTTATCACTGGTAAGATTAGAGGGATATTAAGGAGGATCCAGCTGATCTTAGGTCTGCTGAGGATCTGTTGCTGTCCTTCTGTCGTCTGCTGTCTCGCGATAACCCGCGAAGTTTCCGGTGTTGTGTATGTTCCTGGAAACATGGCGGCCAGCTTCCGCGGCCGTCCTATCCGGAGTCTTCGGATGCGAGGTAAGCACAAAAACCTCGGTTCAGCGGCTGCTGTAAAAGCAGGATATTGCAAAATAGGATTTTGTCACGCACGCGATGACCTTGGAGTAATGTCTCGGCGTGTCCGCGGTGTGTGTTTTTGACAGGTCGGAATGACAGCGGGGAGGAGAACGTACCGCTGGATCTGAGCAGAGGTAAGCAGAGGCTTCATCACATCACCCTGAAAGCGATTATTGTTCAAAATGGATGAGGGCGATTTCTGCAAACGCTAGCCCCGCGTGGTGAAAGTCTAGACAGTGTACGCGCTTGACCCGTCACTGCTGTTGTTATTTCGCCATTTTCCCTCACTGTTTGGTCTAAAAACGTCGCTATCGATGTCATAACAACAGGCGGCAACGAGCTAACTTAACTAGCTGAGTTAGCGTTAGCTAGCTGCCCCAGCTAACCAGCCATGAAGACGCTCTGTTATTTTGATCGGCGTGAGTGGGCACGATAGCCTGTTATTTAGCCAAGTAGCCATAAGAGTTGCAGTCATGCATTTGTCATCGCTAACTGGCTGGGGGAATTGAGTCTGAAAGCTGTGCGCCGAGAAGCATTGAGGCAACACACGGTGGTTCTTCCAGAGGAGCACTGATAACACAGCTGCACAACTTGTCAGATTTACTCCTCCAGCATCAACACTGCATAGCAGTTTGTTTACACGGAGCAGCGGTGTCTGAGTCCTGGAGGCCCAGATCCCTGCTAGATTCATTACAATCGTCTCAACTAGAGACATGCTCACCTGAAATATGTGTGACTGACAACATTAAAATCTTCACCACAGGAGAGTCAATACACTTAACCTGCTTCAGTGCGATTTGCACTATTTACATGTTCTTCCTGATAATACCAAAACTGGGGAAAATAAAGTATGTCAGTTCCCAGAGGTTTAAAGTTATGAAATAACAAATGTGCATACTAAGTTCATGTAATCACTGTGGCATCAATTAAAATGTGATGTATTCATAACTTACTGTAAGATTGGCTCGTGATGTTTACAAATGCTTGTTACCAAAGTAACCCTTTGGGCTGGCATTTTTCTCATTTCCACTTTTGAGCGATGGATTGAGTGCAGTGTTTGGAGCAGTGAGACTGATGACTAATACCGATAGCTGTTACTTTTTGACAAGCTGCAGCGTAATCAGGCTTATCATCTGCTGCGCTTTGTTGTTGAGGAGAAAGTGATCTGCCCAGCTCATTAAGCTGGTGTTTTCCCAGTTTGTGCGATGTTTACATTTGTCTTGCAGGGCAATATCTGGAAGTCATCCCACGTAAAGCGGGCGTTTAGGCGTCGACCACGCTCAGACGATTCTGTTTTAAAATGCGGTTCCCGTTTGTCAAAATATTTAACGTAGGATAGTTGAAAGGAACTGAAAACAAAAACACTTCCCGCTCAGGTCTGGCTATTTTAGTGTCTAGCCTTTGTTTTGATTGTACACTCTACATTAGTTCCAGCTAAACCAACTTCCTTCCTGCAGGATATCTATTACGGTTCATTGACTGATATTATTATGGCAATATGGCTTAACGCCTTAGTTACATTGTATTTCCTTTTCATTCTCCTTTAGAACCGTCAGAAAACTTCCGTGAAATCCTTCAAAATGTGGCCAAACCGCACGGAGTCAGTAACATGCGAAAACTGGGCCACCTGAACAACTTCATAAAGGTAACGCTGTCAAGCTCTGATAATTTTTGCCTCATTTAAAGACAGTTTTGCCTCGCTGAAATGTTGTGAGACATGCAGCTTTTTGAGAGGGTTCACTGGGTTCAGATATCTCACAAGATTGATTAGCTGCTCCTCCTCTGTAGTGTCACCACTGACCTCTCCTTGATCTTTTCCTCTTGGGTGTTGATGCCAGCAGGCCTAGTTGTGCCTGTCACTGTGATGCTGACAGTGAATATAACAGGAGCTCGAGGGATAGGAGAGCACTTCAGTCTAATGTGCATCTGGAGCAGCGCTCAGACTTTGAAATCTGAGATTAATAGTGTCTAGTTATTGTTTGTATGGACCCAAGACTTTGATTTGTTAAAAAAAGAAGAAGAAAAGATTACTTTAGTCATTTTTTTCTCTTCTGGTTTTTAATGTGGATGATAAAAAAAAGAGGATTTTAGGAGGATTTTCAGTTCAGCAGAGCTTAAAACACAAATATCCTAACATGGATTGTAACACATGTGAGCATATGCAAGTTTTAAATTCTTTTGACCATGCAGTATAACTGCTCTGATTCACTTAACAGCAGTAAATGTTACTGATGCAGAGATGAATAATAGCTATAATATCCCCAAAAGTTTAATCTGTTCATCTGGACGTAGTGTTTTCAGTGGGAGAAGCGTTTCGTCACTCATCTAAGTGTCTTCTTCAGTTGATTGCAGAATGACTGCAATAATAATAATAAAAAAAGAGTATGAAATGTAAGTTTTTTGCTCATTAAAAAAAATCTGTTTTAGTGTTATCGCTCATCCTTCAGGTCAGCCCTGTTGGTCAGGACTAGTGACCTCTCGAGGGTGTTTTTCTCCTGTCAGCCCAAAACATGCTGGAGTACTCTCCTTCCTGTTATTTTGAACAGGAATAACAGGGGTGGAGAAAATGAGTTAATGATTGCGAGATGAGTGTGAGATAGAAAACTAGCACTTTCTTGTGCCTTGAGCACACTGGCTTTGCTGACTGTCACCTCAGGTGGGGAAAAAAAAAATCAAAGCCATGTGCACAACTGTCTAATTTCTCTCCGTCTGCAACTACGCTGGGGTCGAATTGGTATAAAGTTTGTCATCTGAGTGCAGGTATTTGTCTGCTCTTCACTTTGTTGTGACAGGTCTGTCTGTGTCTGTGTGCAAAGACAGTGATGTGCAGTATTTTAAGGAAGCTAACTAAAAACCAGTATTATCAGAACACTACTGGTTTGTGGTATCTGCAGTTGTCCATGCACATGTTTACAGGAGAGTTTAATCCTGATCATAGCTATATCCTGATTTCCTCTTTCACCACACTGCCTCAGACCACTTCTGACTGCCGGTCATAAGCATATTGTAAACAATTGTTGGTAGCTGTGTGGCAAGTGAGTACTGGCCCTCCTATAACTGTGCAGTTGGCACTGGAGCAGGCTCGAGGCTGAGTGAGAGCATGGGTTTGTGTGCCTGTAATCTGTACACCTAACTCTCTTGTTTACAACTGACTGGAGGGTTATAGCCATGATGTGTGTGTGTCCCATTAGAGCACCATGACTCTGATTCCTTATAAGGGTTCCAGGACAGTGAGGGTTAGCTAATCCCCCACCCCCCCGGAGAGCATCACGTGCACCCTGTCCCCATCTCCTCTCCCCTCGTTTGCCTGTTTGGGCTCTGACATCACAGCTGTTTTAAAACAACCTTCTTGCCTCTCATCACCCATTCCACCCTGCTCCGTCTTGCCTCATGCTCTGCTGTGCTTTAGGAAATTTATGCTCAACTTTGAGGAACAGTTTAAACCAAAAGTACTACAGTGGTTCACTTTCATTAGGAGACACATGGCAGAATAGACAACTGTGATGGAGGAGCATTGACTTGTTGTGTGAAGGAGCCTCAGTGTACCTCTAAGAACGATGTTACAGAACATATAAGACCATATTTGGAACATTAAATATGTAAAATATTGATTAGAGTTCACACTCTCACTAATTGTTGTGTGCAGCTCTACAGTTATTAGGGAGATGTAAACACTCCACATAAGATTTGGATAATGATTACATAGAAACATGGGGCTGACACTTTATAGCTGATTTCAGTCATTTGAATACCCTTCTGGCTTATACTTCGCAATTGCTGTGGCTTTGTTCTGGCAATGTTACCTCTTACACAGTGACAGCAGATTCATTCACTTCCCACATAAAGGGCCCACAAGGCCATTTTTCTGCAGTAAAAGGGAGAAGTGATCGATCTATTTTTTTGTTTGTTTTGCTACATTTTTTAAAATTTCTCTGTCTCCCTCTCTCTCTTTGATTTAATAGTTACAAGTACTGCAACTCTTTATTTTATTATTTCACTGTGTTTACCACAGATTTATATTGTCTCTCATCCTCAAAATCATACGTGTAAAGTCATTTTGAATTGTGGGCTACATACATCCTACTTTGAGCCTACGTGATAAATTTGTAAAATTACAGAAAAAGTAGTACCGGTAGTAGTAGTTCATTGCCCAGACCGTCGTTTTATAACATGTGAATTTTTCATTGTCCTTTTTTCCTATCTAGTATGGAAACATGTTATAGTACATAGTGGAAAAAACAGGAACTTTTTTCATTTAATTGTTTATACGTTACTTAATTACTTAGCTGTATTATCAATAGCAGTGGTGAGGGGTCTTTTATCAGTAGGAAAGCTGTAAAAGTTATGAAAATACAGTTAAAAGGATCATAAGTCTGTGCGCTTCATCACATTTCCCAAAGCTGTCCAGTGGGCTGCTTTGGAGTCTTTCCCGGGCTCATTCTGGCCTCCTCCTCTGGTCTCTCAGATCAATAAATAAATTTAAGAAAAAGTGTATTTGATGAGTACTCCTTTTATATGCATATTGAGATGTGATTTTTTTTTACGACATACTGCACAGCCTTACCTGCCTTTAGGGAATTGCTAAAGGTAGACATTCATGCTGGAAACAGGGTCACACTGACTGCCAGACCTGATAGGATAGAGAAAATAGGAGCATATATCTAGGCTATGAGAGAACAATACAACAGAGTTAGTCCGACTATTGAAGACTCTATTTTATGTCCTTTGTGTTTTGACGTACTATCATACAAGCATGTGCTTAAGCGACAAATAGTGGCAAGTGTTTTGCCTCTATGGGTTTCCTACTTAGAGCCTCTAAATGAGTTGAACACGTTTTTTTCATTCACAGTTATCCATTAAATCAACATGTACCTGACTGGGCTCGATTTACTCTCGTCCTTCACTAAAACCATGCTAATGGAGTCATGGCCATATTGAACCCATTTTTATGCTTCTGTTTTATAGCTGCTGTGCAGCATTGGCCACCGTGAGGAAAATTTTGGGTTTACATATGAAGAAATCATCATTTGGTAAGTAATCTCAGCCACCGATAATAGTGTAAGTGTGTCCTATTTAATGTGCGCTTTTTATGTACTCTGGCTGTTAAGCTGTTCTGGATTTGGAATAATGATGACGTGAATGTGCGATTGAAAAGTACCAGTCAATGAAGTAATGAAGGAAATAGTCATATCTTGTGTCAGGTTGTCCGTGCTCTAGTTTTAGTCACTTTATTGTTTGTTTTTAATCTCTAGTCTGCGACTAGCTCTCCTTAATGAAGCTAAAGAAGTGCGTGCTGCGGGGTTGCGGGCGCTTCGCTACCTCATCAGAGATACCAGCGTACTGCAGAAGGTCCTCAGACTACAGGTGGATTACTTGATAGCCAGGTGAGCTCCTGCTTTGAACCACCCAGTCAGGTGTAACAGTTGTTATCTTACTAAATGTTTGGGTTTTTTTTAGTTAAGTTGTTAGGGTGTTTGTAGTACCATGCTTCAGCCAGTCTTCTTCTTCGGCCCAACCATGGTACATGACTGATTGTTATGATTGTGGATTTTTTCAGATGCATTGACATCCAGCAGAGTAATGAGGGTGAGAGGACTCAGGCTCTACGACTTGTCCGAAAGGTAAAAACAAGGCGTGTGTTTTGGTGATCTTTGTTCCTTCTGACCATTTGCAGAGTCGCTCTCATGTCACTCGAGGAATTTGCCCTCACTGCTCACTCCTGTGCCAGCGAAATGCCACCAGAAAGCTCCCGGGGTTAGCAGGAGTGTCAGTGGGGATGGTTTGCATGTGTCTGCAGGCGGGGTTATTTATAGTTTAGTAGTTTACTGTAAATCTTCACACAGCGCTTAGAGTCATAGTGCTGTGGTTTCAGCTTCAATTTCTTGAAGGAACTACCAGTTTTACAAACACTAAATATGTGACCTTCAGAATAGTCAGATCCTGTTTTGGCATTTCAAAAGTTGATCTTCTTTTTCTGGAGTTCTCCAAAAAGCAGCCATAAAAAAAGCAAAACAGTGAAGTTATTTTTTGCCTCTCTTTGTTGTGGCTTGTTTTGATGACTCATGTTCCCGTCCTCTTCCTCTCTCTGTAGATCATCACTGTCAACGCAATGCTCTTCCCCACGTCTATTGCAAACTCTTTAATTGCTGTGGGGACCGACGGCCTGCAGGAGAGAGACCGCATGGTGCGCGCTGCCATCGCCATCGTTTGCGAGCTAGGTAAAGTGCCTGGTGTTTAAAGATGCAGGCCGGTGCGGTTGCTATGCATGGTGCTCTTTGGGTGAACAGAAAAACTTGTGGAGAACTATTGTTGTTTGACATTATTATTATTATTAATATTATTATTATCGCCATTGCCTGTGTAGCCCTGAAGAACCCAGAGGTGGTGGCCAAACGGGGAGGCCTCAGCACCATCCTTAAGAGTGTGATAGACTGTCAACTAAGTCGCATCAACGAAGCACTTATCACCACTATCCTCCACTTACTCAACCACCCACGCACCCGCCAGTATGTGCGTGTTGACGTCGAGTTGGAGGTCTGTGCGCACACACACACACACACACACACACACACAGACACACATAGTTTATGAATTGAGAAGAAGCTTCTGTTTAAAAATGAGCCACTGTGCTGGGAGCCATTCCAGTCAGGATTAGCAGAGCTGTAGGTGCCCGTCTCTTTCCCATGGAGCTTAAAGTAATCAGTTACAGCATTTCTCCAAAGCCTCATTGTCTGTAAACACTTGGGACAGTAGCAGCTCATCACTGCAGGCACACAGATGTTATATAACATGTGTAGCAGGTTAATTATTACTGCAAAATTTTTCCTGACAGTAGTAAATAGAGATGTAATTTGAAGCTCGCTTTACTGTTGTTTTGTATGCATCAATTTTCTCTGTTTTTGTTCTCTGTTCTCCAGCAAATCCTCGCGCCTTTCACTGATTTTCACTACCGTCACAACGCAGACACGGCTGAGGGGCAACTCAAGTGAGTGTGTGTGTGTGTGTGTGTGTGTTTAGGTGGTATGAAGAGCCTGTGGTTGAACTGTGCATAGAGAGAGAGAGCGAGAGAGAGGAGGGTTTGTGTAGTGTTTTTGTTAGGCGACCCTTGTTGTCAGGGTGGCTTGACTCTGCAGCGGCTTGCCAGAGGATGTGAAGTCAGATTTTTATAAAAGATCTTGTATGTTTTGTTTGTGTTGTGTAGTCTGAACAACCACCGGCTGAAAGATCATAACGATGTTGTGTGCACAGAACATGATGTCCAGTCTTTAACGTGTGTTTTTCTTGTTCACAGGGAAGACAGAGAAGCCCGTTTTTTGTCCAGCCGAATGGCTATAGTGGCTGCTTTCCGCTCCTGGTCCGGTAAGGGCTTTAATATTATTCTTTCTGTACATACTTGTTAGGAATACTCACTGTTAAATATCTCCTATTCTCTCTCTCTTTCTCTCTCTTTTTTTGTCTCAGGAATTATCAACCTATGCAAGGCTGGAAATTCTGGAATCCAGTCTTTAATTGGCTTACTTAGCATACCAAATATGGAAGTTAGGGTGAGTATAAAATGTTTGGCCCTTGTTTGTTTGATATTCAAAAACACAGATTTTTCTGATTCTTGCCTGTGAAGATTCCATCCAAGCGATTGTTTTTATTGTGCAGCGGTTAGATGGAGTTGCGTTACAAATTAAAAATCAACCAAAATTTCCTGTATGAAACAATCTTTTTACTAATGTTAAGTCTGCTTGGCTTCAGAGGCTTAAAGCACAGAGTGTATTTGCCATGCCATCTTATCAAACCAGTGGGTTCTCTCAAGCTTGCAAATCACTGTTTTACACAGCATTAACATTAGTTCTAACTGTTCTTTTCTGCTACTTAACCATGCAGCTTTTGCCATATCTATATAATTATTTGTAACCAATTTTGCAGAAAGGCTTGTTGGAAGTGTTATATGAGATATTCAGGCTTCCTGTGCCCATTGTAACGCAAGACTTCACTGAAGCCCTTCTAAGTGTTGGTAAGTAAAAAATATCTAATTTTCAAATCATTTAATCCCCATATAAAAACAAGCAGTGGAACTGTTGTATTAAGTATTTGATGTAAATAGCACATTTCACTAAAGTTAAGAGGGGAAGCATGAGATTGGAACAGTTATGTAATATAAGAAGGAAAAAAACACCTGGTTGAAGATCTGACTGCTTGTTAGGTTAATAAGTAACACGACGGGGTGTGAAAAGACATTCCCAGAAAGGTTGAGTTGTTCATGAGTAAAGATGAGAGGGGCTCAGCACTTTTACTCGGTTTGTCCACTGAGTGTGAAAAACAAATTTTTAAACAGTTAACACTAAATGTGTAATTTGGAAAAAGAAAAGCAGAAAACAATGCGACTTAGTCATCTATCGCACAAAATATCATTAAAGATTTGGAGAAAATGGGAAACGAGACAGCGTCAGAAAACCAACACTAAATGACCGTGGTCTTCGGGCCCTCGTGTGACACTGCATCAAAAACAGGGTTTTGTTGGGTTTAGAGCAGCGGTCCCCAACCTTTTTTGCGCCACGGACCGGTTTAATGTCAGACAATATTTTCACGGACCGGCCTTTAAGGTGTCGCGGATAAATACAACAAAATAAAATGATACGACCAAGACAAAAGCTGTGGTGTTTTGTAAATATAATAATAAACGCAAATTCACTGTGTTATTGTGCAACTTTATTAGCTGCGTCCTTCTGAAATGCGCCAACAACAATGAAAGTAACATCCTCCTCTCTGCCCCTTAATGCTCTCTGGTCACTATGGTAACACGCAAATATTTCTTTCAAAATAAGAAACACAACTACAACACGGAAACCGAGTTAACGATAAAAACCCTGAAAACCATACATTTCACACCCGAACCTCAACTCTTGTGGCCTGGTGCCAGATGACTCACAGACCGGGACCTGTTCGTGTCCCAGGGGATGGGGACTTCTAGTTTAGGAACACTTCTGAATATTTTTATCTGTGGACACAGTTCATAGTTGGATCCACAGATACAAATTAGACCATCCAAAAATCCAGCTGTCCTTCCTGAGCCAACCAGAGCTCATTTAGGAGGGAGAAAGCTGCCCAGTGGTCTCATCTGCTTCATTCTGTAGTGTAAAGAGGGGCCATCTTGTTTATTACCAGGATCTGCTGGGGTTTGGAGATTAATTAGTGCACATTACATGGATAACTGGGCAAATCTGTGAAGGCCCAAATAATGCTTAATGATACACAAGGTAGAAATTTTTGGAGCAACATGATCATAAAGTCCATTTGAAGGAAAACGCTTTCATTTAGCAGGACGGCACCGAAGCACAGTCTGCATGTCTACATAATAAAATGCATTTAGTGACCCACTGACTACATTTGGTGTGTTTTGAACTAAAAAAAAAGTTAGCTTAAATTCTAAATCACCAGGAAACTACGACACGTTTGTGCTTTTGTTCTCTGACATAGTGTGAAAAATGTTCCAGCTCCACTTTTTTGAAATGTGTTAATGCAATCAATTTCAAAAATTAGCATTTTGTCCTGCTTAAGATTAAAAAAAAATCTTTGTTTCAGCATTTCATATGTTATCTCAGTACAGCCTTTGGTTAAATGTAGAATAAAATTTCTTTTAGACCCCAAGTAGGTCCATGTTTTACACACACTGACAGACTGGTCTGTTTGCTCTGTTCTCCTTCAGACCCCGCCAGGTTCCAGGACACCTGGAGACTGTCTGACGGGTTTGTTGCTGCCGAGGCCAAAGTCATCCTACCCCATCGGGCCCGCTCTAGGTGACAAACGAAAGCACAGGATAGAAATGAAATATATTGACAGAACTGTTGTCACTTCAGTGTGTAAACAAGCCATAAAATGATTTTTATCTGCTCCCTTTATTAGGCCTGACCTAATGGACAACTACCTGGCATTTGTTCTTTCTGCCTTCATTTCCAGCGGGCTTTTAGAGGTGAGCTGACACACAATAGGTTTAATTTACTCAGGCTAGGAGTGTGTGTTTCACAGTATTGTATTAACAGCTTTTGGGTGGCTTTTATATTGATGTCCTTCCTTGTGCCTTTATTTTTGATACTGTAGGGCCTTGTTGAAGTTGTGACCAGTAGCGATGACCAGCTTGCTGTCAGGGCCACCATCCTTCTGGGAGACCTTTTACACATGGTAATAAAAAAAAAAAAAAGTATAATTTTGTGCATTTCTAAAAGTTTCTAAGCTATATCTTTGTTTCTTTGACTCCTTTGGCTTCTTTTGCTATACTCACCAAGGTTTTATTTCTCTCTTGATCAGGCAAATACCATCCTTCCTCATTCCCATAGTCACCACTTGCACTGCCTTCCCACTCTCATCAACATGGCAGCCTCCTTTGACATCCCCCAAGAGAAACGACTGTGAGTACAAACTGCCACACACGCAATCACTCTTGTTTTTTTTTTTATTGTAACAAAATAATTTCCTCTAATCTTTAGTCATCATTTTTTGCAGTGTTCTCTCATAAAGATGTTCTTATCAGTAGTGCTGATTTCAGGGCTATAGACTGGTCATTGACTCGCTGGTAACAATCAGTCGCTAATAAAGCGTGTCCACGACCGGTTGACGAGTGGTTGCTGGAGGTTGAAAAGTGGGTGCTGCACAATAAGCTTCCTTGGATTTGCATTGGTTGCAAGCAGATTGCCATGGTCACCTGTAGTTCGCGTGGAAGAAAAGGGAGCTGTTCGCCTTCAACGTTCAAAGTTGTGCATTTTCAGTGATAACGTTGGCATCTTTCATGTCACACCAACTCGATAATTTTGAAAATTTCATCCAGCCACTACTCGCCAACTGGTCGCCGACTAACTTGTAGGATTTACTTGAATACATACTAGTTGTTAAACCACTTTTAAAACATCCTCCTGTTTTTTTTGTTTTGTCTTGCTTTGTTTATTTTTTTTCTTTTTGTTTTATTTATTTATTTATTTATTTTTCCTACCTGGCCTGAGGGATAGGGCTTCTAAGTGGTATGGGTAGGGGGTAAACTGATGTAAGCAATTACAAGACATGTGAGTGTGTCATTATTTCAGTTCAAACAGTCACTGTGAAACTTACTTGTCTGTTGTTTAATGATTCTGTGTGTATCTGTTTTTCTTTGTTGCTTTAAATCAATAAAAATATCTTCGAGAAAAAACATCCTCCATCTTTGTCTCTATGCGCTCTAGGCGAGCAAGTGCAGCCGTCAACAATCTGAAACGTTTCCATGAGAAGAAGAAGAAAGGTTTGAAACCGCACAGTCTTTATCTGGACCACATCATTCGCAAGTCTGTGTCGTCACATAACCGCAGAGATTCACGTGTCCACAAAGACATCTATGTCATTAAGGTAAAGATGAACATCTTTTACGTATTTTCCATCTTACGGTTGGTCTTGGCTTTGGCTTCTGTGTGTTTGTTGCAAAGTATGTGGTGTGTTTAGTGTAGCTAGAAAGAGGGAGGCTGTTATTTGCGGCAAACCAGATTTGAACAATTTAAGCCAAAAGTTTAAACATTTAAATAAAAAAAAGTAGTTTTACTTTCATATTTACAGCTTCTGTTTTTTCTGCTTCTGTGCTCAGGACACAGAAGAAGCACTGATGATGAATCTGCGAGACAGTCAGATTCTCAACCACAAGCAGAATTTGGAGTGGAATTGGTTGCTTATTGCCACCATCCTCAAGGTCAGGCTGTTCTCATGTACCACCACAGACTCGACGTTTTGTTTTTACATGTGTAAAAGGGTATTTTTTTGTCTTCTCAGTGGCCAAATGTAAACCTCAGGAACAACAAAGATGAACAGATGCACAAGTAAGCCTTTTTTATTTAACCACAGCTCATTACAAGAAACTGAATTTGTTCAGAGTGTTTTTCTCACATCCTGTTTTACATTTCTATTTGTTTTTGTCTGATGCAGGTTTGTTCGGAGGCTGCTGTACTTTTATAAGCCCAGTAGTAAGTTGTACGCAGGGCTTGCGTTGGATCACCTAAAGGCCAGACAACTCACTGTGGTTGGCTGTCAGTTTGTTGAGTTCCTCATGGACTCCGATGAGGTTAGAGAGGTTTACACTGATGCTCGTACTCTAATTTATTTCTTCTTTTTGGTCATTTACGAACCCACCTTTGTTTTTGACGCTTTATTTTTTCCCCCGCCATCAACCAGGATGGCCAGGGTTACCTGGAGGACCTGGTGAAGGACATGGTATCGTGGCTCTCCTCGTCCTCTGGAATGAAGCCCGAGCGCTGTCTGCAGAGTAATGGCCTGCTCACTACACTCAGCCAACACTACTTCCTCTTCCTGGGGACGCTCTCGGCACACCCACAGGGAGTCAAACTACTAGAGAAATGTGGCCTGTTTCAGTGGTGAGTGAGCAGAAAAGTCTTTAATCTATTTTGAGCTTTTCCAGGCCTGCAGAGTGAAATTGTGTCAGAGCTGTTTGATTAAAAACATCCTGCAAGGTGACATTTGCACTTTTTTTTCTCCCCTCTATTTTCAGCCTGCTGAATCTGTGCTCTGTAAAGAACCAGGATGCTGTGCTGAAACTCGCTGTATCCACACTGGACTACAGCAGAGATGGTCTGGCCAGAGTGATCCTCTCCAAGATCCTCACTGCTTCTACTGATGTAAGCAAGCTGTTAAAACACTAATATTGTAATTAGTAGTAATGGGGAAGTTGTTGTTTTTTTCATGCACAGTGGTCAGCAACCTCTTATCACACTGCCACATTTGCAGGCATAAAATAAACTGAATCATCTATTGCCAAACTTGCCCTTTTTTCTTTTTCTAAACACACCCGATCACCTCATTTTCCTCCACCCACCACACCTTCTGAGAAGTCGTAGGCCTCTTGGCAATTAAATATTCGCACCACCCCTGATCACACAATACTTCTTGTCTCGCTGTGCAGACGTGCAGGCTGTATGCTACCAAACACCTCCGCGTGCTGCTGCGTGCAGGCGTGGAGTTCTTCAGTAGCTGGGGCATGGAGCTGCTGGTCACACAGCTTCACGACCACAACAAAGCTGTGTCCATGGAGGCCCTGGACATACTGGATGAGGCGTGTGAAGACAAGGTGAGTGATGATGCCGCTTAGATTGTTCTCAGCAAAGCAATTAAATAATAAAATAGTAAAAGCAGATAAGATTAAGCCCATCGTGTTATCTGACAGTTTCGTTTTGTGCCCATTCTGCTGCTTTACAGGCCAACCTTCACGCTCTAATCCAGCTGAAACCAGCTGTGTCCCACCTGGGAGACAAAGGCCTCTTACTGCTCCTCAGGTAGGTGTTTACCACTACAACATTACAAAAACAGTGCGTCACTCTGAAATAGTCCTTCTTGAACACACTCTACATCTTTTTTTCCCCCTGCATTTTTAGGTTCCTGTCCATTCCTAAAGGTTTCTCCTACCTCAATGAGAGGGGCTATGTCAGCAAACAGCTGGATAAATGGCAAAAGGTATTATTCAAATATCAGCAGACAGCTTAATGAAATCTCATTTAAAATATTCTGAAATCATGTGGCTATAACAAGGACACATACAAATGAGTTTCCTCCCCTCACCCCAACCGGTCACGGCAGATTGCTGCCCGTCTCTGAGCCTGGTTCTGCTGGAAGTTTCTTTCTGTTAAATGGGAGTTTTTCCTTCCCACTGTCGCCAAAGCGCTTGCTCATAGTGGGTCATATGATTGTTGGTTTTTTTTCTGTTTTCTTTGTATTGTAGGGTCTTAACCTTGCAGTATAAAGCACCTTTGAGGCAACTGTTGTTGTGATTTGGCATTCTATAAATAAAATTGAATTGAATTGAATATTAAGTAGACTCTGTGCATTGCAGGAGTATAATCTTAAGTATGTGGACCAGATAGAGGAGCAGCTCAATGAAGCACTAACAACTTACCGCAAACCTGTCGATGGAGACAACTACGTCAGACGCAGCAACCAAAGGTAAGAAGGGTGAAATTTGGGGCCATTCGATGAGCTGTAGCAGTGAATGGGTTTTTGACTGTGCCTGATTTCTTTGGCCATGTCTCCAGGTTACAAAGACCAAACGTCTATCTCCCTGTGCACTTGTATGGTCAGCTGGTTCACGATAAGACAGGCTGTCATTTATTAGAGGCTCAGGTAAGGTCTCTCTCTTCTTTTTTTTTTTTTTTTTTTAACTAAAAATTATCATTCAGCTGTTCTGTAGGACTAAAGTGCCATTTGTCTTTTATTTTTGCCCCATCTGTCTCCAGAGTGTAGTGCCTGACCTTAGCTACACGATTCGCTCCCCGATGCTGGACACCTGGGAGGGCATCAAACAGCTCAAAGCTGCTCTCTGGGCACTAGTCAGTAACGCAGATTAATCCGTGTCACATAAGTTAATCTTTAATGATAATACAAAGACACGGGCTTGATTGTGGTTGTTTTTCGTTTTGTTTTTTTGTTTTTTCAGGGCAACATTGGCTCTTCAAACTGGGGTCTGAATCTCCTGCAGGAGGAGAACGTCATTCCTGATATCCTTGCATTGGCTCAGCACTGTGAGGTGCTGTCAGTGCGAGGGTGAGCTTTTCTTTCTTTGTCTTTTATTCAGTTACATTAAAAAGCGTTACTATGGAACATGTAACGTCAGACTGTTTTTGGTTTTTTTTGTGTGTGTGTTTTTTTTTAAATTTCATAGAGAAGTATTTTGTATTTGTATTTTGACTGTCACTTGGTGTCCACAGGACATGTGTGTATGTGCTGGGTGTGATCACCAAGACCAAGCAGGGCTGTGAGGTGCTAAAACAGTTCGGTTGGGATGCAGTCAGACACAGTCGCAGGACGCTGTGGCCCGTCACTCCAGACGAAGTGGACACGCAGCTGACCTCTGAACTTTCTTCAGTACCGAGCACGCTCAGTCTAAACTCGGAGTCCACCAGCTCCCGCCACAACAGCGAGAGCGAGTCTCAACCAAGTACGTAGCACATTGCCTTTGCTTTGTCACCATGTTCTCCAAAACTATTGAAATTTATGTTTTGTTTCTTTAACAGATCTCTATAATAATCAGTAATTATTGCTAGAAGTTGGACGTTTTTAATTAATTTAATTTCTCTTAGACATGTACATCCTGGATGATGACAAGTGTGATGTTCTGGACCAGTCGGATGAGACTTCTTTATACTTACACTCCAAACCAGTCAAAGACCGTAGCCCCTTTACAATACTGGCCTCTACTCGCTTCGTTCGCACTCGCTTCCTGAACTCCCTGTCTCTCCCCAGCAAGAAACTGCGCTCCACCAGTGACCCCAAGACACCATCAGGCTCCCGAACCCCCACTGAGCTCAAGACTGGGAGTATGAGGCGGAACAGGACAGTGACAGAGCCCTCTGTCTACAGCCCAAACCAGGGGGACTTTACCCCTATCTTTAATGGCCGAGGAATGCCAAAGAGTCCAACGGTCAGTCTGGAGACATCATTTGTTGGGACAAGAGGGGGCTCAGAGGAGCACTTGGTGGATGGCAGGCTGTCGAAGGGAGGAGGCTCAGGCCTCGGACTTAGTACTCTCGGAGGCCAGGGGGCTGCAGAGCAACATAGCCGGGAGAGAGAGCAGAGCAGCCGGGAGCGTCTAGCAGGAGATGGCGGCTCTTCTAGCGGAGGCAATGTAGGAGGGGGTGGCGGAGGTACTCAGTTTAAAAGCCGCAGTCAGAGCTTTAACACAGACACCACAACGAGCGGCATCAGCTCCATGAGCTCCAGTCCCTCTCGGGAAACCGTTGGCAACCCGGAGCATCCGGAGGCCGAACCGGATTCCTCTGACTGCGTGAGCCTCAACACAGTAGTGTCTGCCAAGACTGTCAAAACACTCTCATCCCTCACCCCCCAGTCACAGACTAACCACATGTCCATGTCCAAGTCCTCCACTGTCTCTCTGGTACCTCCCGGCTCCTCCCACACCCTCCCCCGCCGGGCTCAGTCTCTCAAGTCCCCCTCAGTGACCACCATAAAAAGCCTGGCTGATTGTAGCTTCATGTACACCAGCCCGAGAGACGCGCTGGGCTACGCTACGCTGAAGAGGCTTCAGCAGCAGAGGATACACCCATCTTTGTCTCACAGCGAAGCGCTGGCTTCACCTGCCAAAGATGTGCTGTTCACAGACACCATCACTATGAAGAGTGGCAGTCTCGATTCCAGACTAACTCCCCGCAGGTAAGTCGGCGCCACCGCAGGGTTTGCTTCATGGAAACGGAACATCTTAACCCATCTCTATTATTCTGTTGTCTTTTTGAGCGTATTTAATTTAGGTTTGGTGCCACGTGAAGATGTTAGCCGTCAGCCTAAAGAATGTTTAAAAACATGCCTGAACCTGAGTTTTCGCTTTGTGTTTTTTGTACCTTTGGAATGACAGATTTTTTTGGGGGGGGGTGAAGGGTGTCTTTTTGTGCACCTTCTGCTGTGTCTGTCAGGATATCAGATAGGAGGGTTACCTGTCCAGAACCCAGCGCCGTAAGTTCGTACCGCAGGCTGTCCAGAACACTCGTACCGCGGTGGGTGGACCTAGCTTGTGTCCTCCTTTAGAGATGTAGCTTCTAGCACCAGTCCAGACAGATCAATATGTTGTTGCTGCTTTAGTAGAGTACTAACTGCTCTTTGCCTACAGTTGATCCGTCAGTGCTTTCCTGTTGTGCAAGCAAGTCCCACGTAGACTGGTCAATTTCTAGTGGCCCCCCTGTGACCCCAACTTAAAAATATAAATGGCAAACAGGTAGAGATTAGTGCAATTTGATGTTTTACAATGTGTCTAGTATAAATGCATCACAGTGATAAGTCATGCATAGAAAAAATGTGGTGGGTAAGGTAAGTTAGTGCAAAAAGCAGGACCAGAAAATAAGGAAATGTGAAAGAGTGTGAAAAAAGAGCTAAATCTCTGATACAAAGGTGTAACAGATGAGTTCATAACTCTTAACCTGTACATTACCCACTGATTGCACTAGAAAAAGAATTCATTTATAACTTTAAACCTCAGAAAATGGAGACAAAATGTCTTTTGCTGCCGCTGCTCTGATGGCGTTCTGCAGCAAAAAAAAGTTTCCCCTCTCTGTTCTTTTACCAAACATTTTTTCCCCATTTATTCCCCATGTTCCTTTTCTTTCCCAGCCTCTCCCCCCGGATCCTCTCACGCACCTCTCCTCTTGCCCTCCCTAGGTTTCTGAAAGCTCTGAGTTTTGCCTCTTTGGATAAAGAAGAGCTACTCAGTCCAATCAACCAAAGCACCCTGCACCGCTGCTCTTCAGTACGCTCCATGGTCTCCAGCGTCACCTTCGGATGTAACGACGACTACATTGGTCTTGCACTGCCGATGGACATCCATGACATGTTCCACATCAGAGACTCTGCCTACTTTCAGCAGAGGATCAGCCCGCCATCGGAAGAGCGGAAACGTTTTCTTTTCGGTGATGGCGATGGTAACGTCCACTTTGCACATAATTAAATAAACTATTGAAAGCTTATGAAAGAAAGAAACAAAGCTGCACAAAGACAAGAGACTGATTTCTGTTGGTGCTTATCACCTCTGTAGGTGATCGTCCTGCCCTCCCAGTGCTGAAGCAGCAGTTTAGTATCTCAGAGCTGATTGTGCACCGAGGAGACACCCCGAACCACATGGTGGGCTCAGAGGAGACGGGCCTGCAGGTTCACACTGAAGAAAACTGCCTCTACTGCGTGGGAGCGATCGTCCTTGGATACCCCACCCAACCACTGATCAATAGCACACACTCTCGTACAGGTAAGCTGACACGCACACATTCAGTCATTTGAACGGATACGGATTAAACCTAACAGATACTTCAAGGAATGCTTTTTTCTTCCCATCTTTTCTCGCAGATTTTGTCGACTTTCCATCATGGGGAGGCCAGAGCGGCCACCGCCTGGAGGTGATGCCACAGTCAAAATTTTCTGGGGTGTCAGGCTGCAGTGATGCTGCTGTGTCACAAGGTTCAGTCTCTGGCACACCTACACCTGGTGACATTGTCATTGGTAAGCTCACAAATAACCACAATATGCTAAATTAAAAAGTGCTCCTTTGTTCCAGTTGAAAGTCGTACTGTCTCCTTCTCCATCAACTCATTTGTTGGACCTTTTTTCTCTTTCCACCTGTTTCCTCTCTCTTTCTCTAGACCATCAAAGCAAATTAGAATGACAAAGGAAGTCTTTATTTAACTAGGAAAGTCTGTTTAGTTTAATCTTTTTTTGTTGATGAGTGTCCTAAAATGAGCAGTGGCAGGACAAGTGAGTCAAACTTTGTGCCCTGTGGAATATTCAGTCCTTAATGTTTGATTAAAGTTCAGTTCTGTGGAATAAGCAAATACAAAAGCCCACACACACATTGATACTTCAGCATAAAATTGCAGCATTAATGAGAAATAAAAGTTAAACCCAAACTCCCAGACATTGACAATGAAGTCATTTCTTGAAGAAGTTTAGTTTTGAATTTTCATTCAATGTCTCTTATTCCAAGAAATGATGTAACAGAATAAGTATTTAAGATGAAGTCTTAGGGAGTTTATTAGTTTTACAAATGACTTGAGATCACTGCATGGTTGGTTCCAACATAATAAGAATCACATTTGAACGAATTAACGAGTCAAACAAATCTCATCATCCACACTGCTCTGCATCAGTTTTCAGCTCTCCTGCTCAGGCCCAAGAGCCGCCCAACTCAGCTGCTCTGCTCTGCATTTATGGATTAGTTCTCCACACTCTGGATTCTCCCCCCAGTTCAGCTGCGCTTCCCACACTGCCCCGCACAGCCAGCAACCAGTCCAGTTCCCCATTTGTGTCCAATAACACACTCCACCCAGCTCTGCCACGTCTCCAACAACCCACTCAGCCCTGCAATAATTAATCACGTTTTATTGAACTTTATCAATCGATCACATGCCGCTATCTCTGGATCAGTTTATAGCAGTTTTTATATCAAACTATGTATAAACAATAAATGTTGCTAGGAAACCTGGCATGCTGCAGGCTGATTTGACTGTTTTTCTTCTTATCCCACACACTTCAGAATTCACTGTATGATGAATAAACCCAATTTTAGAGACAGTAATAAATTATGAGGAGATGGGGTTATATTTTAATTGAGTTACTTTATTTATAAAGTGCCATTGGGTGATAATGAGTCCCTTGGTTTTGTGAACGTAAATAAGAGTGTATGTATAAATATTCGCTTGCTTCCCTCAGGTGGCAAGGCGATATCCGAGGACGGCCCCGCCTCTCGAGTCTTACTGAGGAAGGAGGTGCTCCGCCTCATCATCAACCTCAGCTCCTCCGTAGGAACCAAAGGCCACGAAACAGGACTACTGACGTAAGGCTCCTTTTCCCCCTTTTGTGCATATACTCTGGATGCATTTTAAAGTTGTTTTTCCAAGATCTCTAAAATATTTCATCTCTCTTCAGGATAAAAGAGAAGTTTTCATATGCGTTTGATGACATTTGCCTGTACTCGGAGGTTTCTCATCTCTTATCCCACTGTGCATTTCGCCTGACCTCAAGACGTTTCATACAAGAACTTTTCCAGGATGTGCAATTTATGCCAGTAAGATCAATTGAAACTTGATTTGAAGTTTTTTAAAACGGACTGTGTCCTTGTGCTTACATGTTTAATCACTGTTCTTCTTTTGGTTCTCCCCAGATGTTTGAGGAAGCAGAAGCAATCCTGACAAAGCAACCAAAACCTGTTGAAGAGGACGCTGACCCTCCTGAAGAATCCTGATCATCCCATTTCTCCCCCATCCCTCCTGCTTTCCCTGCACAGCTGCAGACCCGGCTTCTTATCACCCTGAAAGGAAGACAAAACTGAAATAATATGAGTTAAGGCTCTGAAGATGGGGTGGGGCATTTCGATGTGTTTCTGGTGGATTTTAACAGCACCACAGCCAAGGAAAAAGAGGAGATGGTCATCAGTCACCTTACATACGAGCTGGAAACAAAGGACGTCAGCATCTATAAACAAATGTAATCCGACACGCCTAATGCTGTCTCAGACTTTTTTTTTCTTTTTCTAAATAAAAACACAGGAAAAGGGGGAGCAGTTTAACCAAATACTGTTTTCAAATGGACTGGCGATGTCGAGCAACACTCAATAATACATCAACATAATGCTCAGCGACAAGCTAAATCATTAGGACAAAGACTCGAGCTGTGTTTAAAAAAACAAAAACAAACAAAAAACTATCATTTTTTCCCTCTTTCCAGAGGTGGTCTTGTTTTTTTGTTTTTTTTCTGTAATGAAATAAGTCATGTCGTCGTGTCTGCCCAGTGGTTCCTCAGACCTTGCGTTCTTTTCTTCGACAAAACACTACAGAGGGATCCTGCTGTTTTTAAAACGTACCTGGAGCCTTCATATCCCACCCCGACTCGTGATCTGTTCTAGCCGGATATGTGCTTTTGCTTCTCTTGCCTCTCTACTTCTTACAACCTGTAGCCTCTTGTCAGCACAGGTAGCCAATTGCTTTTCTAGTTCTTGTATCTCAGACAATCAAACATCACTAGTATTCTATTTTCTAAAGCATTATATCTACCACCCTCACGCAGTACATGGGAAGAATAGCACGTAATTTAATGCTAGTTTATGCCATCCTTTACCTGCTAAGGACTTCTCGTGGTTTTTTTCTTCCACTGCATTTTTAGCGAGCTTCTCTGGAAGTGGGTCGATCCTTGGAAAGACGCTCGGAAGATTCATTGTAGATTCAGTCCCAATCTCTGCTCACACGTGTTTCCAAACTCTGCGTAAACCCAGCGGCTGCCCATCTCTATACCTTCTTACCTTTGTGCTTCACCTCCACTGCATGTCCAACAAGCATGGCGAAGTTGTAATGTCACCTGAACGTGTTTCTTGCTTGTAAAACCTTTTTAAAAATAGGTTGCCATTACTTGCTGCCATTACGTTGTAGGACTATAATGACCCCTGGATTTGCCTCCACCATGCAGTTTCACAGGGGGGAACGCGAGCGATGACTAAAGGATTTATAAAAGGTTTTCCAGGGAAACAGGGGAGCTCGGTTTCCATTGGCTTATTATTATTTTTATTTTTTTTATTTAATTTTTAATTATTATTATTTTTTGCTCTACTGCTGCTACACAAATGGACTCATAGAGAGATGATTCATAGATCAGCTGAGTGATGTCAGATCCGATCTATTTATTATATGTCTGTACCATAGAGTGAGCTCAACCAGAGAAGAAAAAAGTTATTTATATTTTTTCCTCAAGACTGTATTATAATTTAAACGTTTTTCCTTTTTTTTTCTCCTTTTTTTTTTCTTTTTTGCCTGAATCGTGGTTTCCCTTGTATAATGTGTACAGTATGTTTTGGGGGCATTGGTGACCTAAAGAAACATACAATCCTATCAAAGGGATGCATTGTTAATAAAACAAAATTTGAAATACCCAAAGATAGTTGATATTATTTAAAAATCCAACTTATTTCATTATTTACTGTGTTAATCTCTTATAAGTCGGCTAATATTGTTACAGTTACAGTTTTGGGTTTTGTTTTTGTTTTTGAAGAAACATTTAAATTAGGTAAAACAAAATCCTCAAAAATTAGGCTGGGCACATCTACGTATAGGTAGTGTTCCTTAATGTTTAAGTTATCAAGTTATCTGCTGTTTAAAACACGATTTCCCTTCAGTGTTGCCGTACTTTGACAGTTTCAATAACAATCTCAGCTTTTTCATATATAGCATGTTTATTAAAGTTACTGTTCCAAAAGGCCAAATATGTGTTTTAAGAAGAGATTTATGAGACAAAGCAAAAAGTGTAGGCAGAGATGCTGCTGATGGTTTTTAAGTTTTATAAGTTGGACCTTTTGAATTTTTACACTCCTTAATCCTAGAGGATAAATCTATAGCAGGGGTCACTAACAGGCGGACCCGGGTCCGAGTCCGGACCCAGTCGCCATCCTATATGGACCCGGACCTATAGTTAACAAAATATTAAATTATATTTAATTTTGACGGGGCGATTCAATTTTAAGCG